GGGATGCAGGACAAATTGTTGAAAAGCCGGACTTCTGGTCACCCTACCCTTAATATACCGTCATAAGCCAAAACACAGAAAAAGGGGCTTGGGGATTCTGGATGGGGGAGACAAGTTATGGGCAGATGACTAGGGGAAGGATGATGAATTTGAAAGATTCTGGACCCACAGATGAAAGATTCTTTCAAAGTGTGAAACAAAGGAAAATGGAATTCCCGTTCTGTAGAAATCATGTGGTCTTTATTTCCACCTGCATCCAGGTGGGGTGAAATCAAGAAAGGAATTCCACACGTGGGTTATGGCAGATGGGGTTTTAAAGGGTCAGTGAGGGTGGCAATTGGCAGCATTCCTATTTCTTGGGAGGGACATGAACCTGACCCTGCCTGGGCGGAGCAGATCTATTTAGGCAGGTACACCTGATTCTATCGGAATTGAGGTTGTTTAATAATATTTTTATGCAGGTTTAATTCGGTGCATTCCATCCCCACTATTAAGAGTCCTCCCCCTGGCTTGACGCCTGTGGCTCAAGTGGCTAAGGCGCCAGCCACATACACCTAAGGTGGCGGGTTCGAATCCAGCCTAGACCCACCATACAACAATGGCGGCTGCAACCAAAAAAAATAGCCTGGTGTTGTGGCAGGTACCTGTGGTCCCAGCTACTTGGGAGGCTGAGGCAGGAGATTCGCTTCAGCCCAGGAGTTAGAGGTTGCTGTGAGCTGTGATGCCATGGCACTCTACCCAGGGGGGACAGCTTGAGGCTCTGTCTCCAAAAAAAAAAAAAAAAGTCCTCCCCTACCTGCTGAGTGGGAGACACCCCTGCAGATGGAAATTTCCATCACAAAAGGAAAACCTGTTCTCTGTCTTAGAGGCTGTTCCTTGAGTGTGTTGGTTCTCTAGGGCATTTAGCTCAAATAATTCTTATGTCAAAGAAGGCGTGTTTGGGGGTAGTATTTTGTAATAAATGTCCTTCACTCGTCTTGCAGAGAAGTCATTGCACAGTGGTAATTGCATTTTATGTTTCATCATTTAGGAGTTCCAGAAACTTTCCCTTTTTTCTCCCTACCCTGTCAAATTGGAACATATAAATAGTCGCCCCAAGAGGAAAATCTTCTCTCAGTGATGAAAAATCCATTTTATCTCCCAAATGTGTTTTCATGTGAAGGGCCACTGTTAACCAGGTGAACTAAAATAAAATCTTAAGCCCCTCAGCTGATTGAATGGACCCCATCTTGGCCAAGTGAACCTTAGAAAAACCCTAAAACTGAGTTGTTGGCCAAGGGTAGAAGGAAAGTCAGGCATAGCTAGGAATGCCCTATCCCTTCTGGAGTTATTCTGTGTAACGATAAGATACAAAATCATTAACAAGCCTCTGGCCATGCAAGACAAAGTTAAGCCACTCCTGCAGGTCCTCAGCTGACTTAACACATCACTGGAGTACTACTGTTTGTATCCAGTGGCTTGTCTCTGATTAACAGGCTTCCCTTCTTAAAAATTCCAAGCCTTCAGAAAAAGCTTCATTTCTTCAACAAATTACAAATCAAAGAATCTTTAAGGCACACTCATAGTAATGGGAGGCTGAGGCAGGTGGATTGCTTGAGTTCAGGAGTTCAAGACCAACCTGAGCAAGAGGGAAACCCCATTTCCAAAAATAGACATTGTGGCGGGCACCATAATCCCAGCTACTCAGGAAGCTGAGGCAAGATCACTTGAGCCTAAGAATTGGAGGTTGCTGTGAGCTACAACACCACAGCATTCAACCCCAGGGCAACTGAGTGAGACTGTCTCAAAAAAAAAAAAAAAAAAAATTTTTTTTAAATCCACTTATAACCTGTAAACTGCCCCTCCCCAAGATGTCCTGCCTTTTCAGGCCAAACCAATATATACCTTTCATGTATTGGTTTATAACTTTCCTGTCTCCCTAAAATGTGTAAAACCAAACTATAATCCAACCATGGCAAGACAGCTTGTTTAAAGCTTCTCGGATGTGGGTTATGGTTATAATATTCAGGTCAAAATAAATCGCCTTGCATTATTTTACAGAGTTTGAGTTCTGTTGATAACTACAATGTTATTAATACTGACTTTTGAGTCACTGAGCACTTTATAGATCTGATGAATTAATTTCTGCTTTACTTAGATAGTAAGCTGGGATAGTTCAAAGAATTGTTTCCAGTCAAAAATTATATTTCAGCAAAATATAAAAATTTATTGCAAAATGTAAAAAAAAAATGCCCTGTACTTTGTGTTAAAGAAGAAATGTGTTTTTACCTGATACCCAGCTCCTTTTTGCCTCTATTTCATAGGTTTCACATACAGTTTTCTTTCTTAAATTATTACCTTTGGAGGAGTGATTAGACTTGTTTTACCTTTTTTAAAAACCAGATTTCTTTCCCACAAATAGCTGTATTGAGAAATAATTTGCATGCCATCTTGTTCACCATTTTAAAATGTATAGTTCAATAGCTTTAATATATTCACAGAGTTGTGCAGCCATCATCACAGTCTAATTTTAAGATATTTTCATCACATCCAAAAGAAATCTTGTGTTCAAGTCATCCCCCATTCCCTCCACCCACAGCCCTAGTCAACCATTACCTCCATCTCTTTTGCCTCCATCTCGTTTGCCTATTCTGGCTATTTCATATAAATAGGATCCTACAGTGCATGACTATCTTAGCTTCCTAGAGCTACTGTAACAGATTACCAAAAACTAAGCAGCTTGAAACAACAGATTCATTCTCTCACCATTCTGTAGGTCAGAAGTCTGAAATCAAGGGGTCAACAGGGAGTCGGAGAATCTATTCCATGCCTTCCCCCCTCCCTGTGGTCACCAGCAATCCTTGGTGCTCCTCTGCTTGTGGATGTTGATCACTCCAGTGTCTGCCCCCATCTTCACATGGCCTGTCCCCTGAGTGTCTTTCTATGGCCTTACAGGGACACCAGTCATCAGATTAGGGTCCTCCCTAATCCAGGATGGTCTCATCTTAACTAATTACATCTGTAGGGGTCTGGTGGACATGAATTTTTGGGAGACACTGCTCAACCTACGACAGTGCCCTTCTGTGCCCGTCGTCTTGAGTGTGATTTGCCAGGGTTATAGCATGCATCAGACCTTCAGTCCTTTTTATGACCAAATAATATTCCTTTGCATGGGTAGACCAGATTTTAGTTATAATTTTTCACGGTTTGGGTTTCCACATTCTGGCTTTTGTAAATAATGCAGCTTAGAAAATTGGTGTACAAGTTTTTTGTAGTCTTTGTAGAAGACTTCATGTTTTCATTTCTCTTGTATTAGACTTCTTTAACTTTTAAGTCTGTCAAGTGATGTACTTTTTTTGTATAATTTATAGGGCCCAAGTGCAGTTTTGTTACATGAACAGATTGTATCCTGGTCATGTCAGGGCTTTTAAGGTAGCCATCATCTGAGTGATATACATTGTACCCGGTGAGAAGTTTCTTATCACCCAACCTTCTCCCACACCCTCACTCTTCCTGCTCTCTGTTCTCTGCACATTTAGCTCCGACTGCATGTGATGTTTTTCTTTCTGTGTCTGACTTGTTTCACTTAAGATGATGTACAGATTTATGCCATGCAGCAATGGCCGTGGTTAAAATTCCAGCAACCATTCTAATAGAATGAATTCTGGTTCACTTTCTGAATCTTGAATTTGCTTTGTATTTCAGTGAATTTTCAGGGACTTGCCTTTGGGGGAATGATGTTTTCTGGGAAATAATACTTTCCTTCCTTTCAACTTATTTGATGGATGGAAATCTGTTTTTAATTTTAGAAAGAAAGCTGCCTACTCTTTGACTTGCTGGGTTGTGTCTTTATTATTATAAATAAGTAGTAGCATTTAACTTTTTAAGCCATTTTTTGTTGACTTTGCAAAGATTTATTGCCATCATCTCAGCTATTCTTAACTTATAAGCACTTTCTCATCATGTTCTCCCTGCAACTCTGTGAGATGTGCCAAGGCTGCTGTTTCCATTTGGAATCCAGTTGACTTCCTTATAAAAGAGCAATTGGTCCTTAAGTGTGATGTAAGAGAACACCCTTCATCCCTCAACACTACAAATCTGTTGGTTTTATGGTGCTCTTTTCTCCAGGTGGCTAATACACTGCCACCAAAGAGAGCTTGTGAGCCAAGGCTGACGATTCTCAAATGTTAACCTACATCAGACTCACCGGAGGGCTTGTTATAGTGCAGATTTCTATGTCCCTCTAAGTTTTTCATTGATTAGGTCTGAAGTGGGGCCTGAGAATTTGAATTTCTAACAAGGTCCCAAGTGATAGTGATGCCGCTGATTCCAGGCCCACACTATGAGAATGGTGGTCCTGGACAACTAAATTTGTTTATCACTTGGCTGTTACTCACTGGGCTTCTTGGAATTTAGTGTGCAGATAAATCCCCTGGGATACCCTTCACTGGTCTGGTTCAGTGGGAAGACTTCCAAGGTTCTGCGTTTCTACCTTGCTCTGCCGTTCAGGGGTTGAGAGAGTAGCTGTGTGCTGCCCACTACATGGGCAGTTCTTTGTTTTTGTCCACCTGTAATAACCGTTCATTGGCTATTAACCGACGTAAATTGGCTAGCTTTTTTAGCAGATGAGCAGAACATACTGTGTGATGTGTAATGGAAGGATGCAAGTTACAGGGTTATTCTGGAAAACAAAACCAGAGGCCACGTGGTTCAAATTAGAGAGTCTTTGCTAGACCTTAATATTGGAAGTAAATTAAAATTCTGTAGTACAGTCTTTTAAATGTTTGTTTCCCAGGTCCTATGATTGAAGAGAGTAGATTCTCACAGGGATTCTAAATTCATTCTTTTAAGTTAATGAATTGATTTTTTTTTTCTCAGCTTCTTGACAAATTAATGGAGACTTGATTGTGTCCACTTAAAAGGCTCATTCTGTATACTTTATACTTGTTGCCTAGAAAGATTATTCTTTTATGAAAACATAGTCATTCCATAAGACTAATTTTTTCGTTTTCTCTTGGTAGGTCACTTACAACCTTGGGGTTGGTTATATCATCACTGGCTGACCAGGCAGCTGGCAAGGGTAAAAACAAATTTGTGCCTTATCGAGATTCAGTCCTCACCTGGCTTCTTAAGGTACTTCATTGCTCTAGTGCTCTTTTCTAACTAAAAATTGGGTATTGCTGATGTGACAACTGAGAAGTATGTGCAAAGCTAACCAAACACAAAGAACTCCCCCAGCAACACTGGCATGCTAGTTCCTAGGAACACAGAATGAAAACTATTTTCTGCTGCTTTCTCTTCCATTATAATGCTGTTGACAGGCTCTATTTGTTGCTGGGAATACAGAGAGGACACATTTCACCTTGTCATAAAATCACTGGTGAAATGCCGACCCATTTCCACATGGCATTTTCCTGGTAGAGAATAATCGTCATAGTTTATTTACTTACCGTTTTCATGTGTCATGTGAGGGATAAGCTTCCTAAGATCCACTTTGAAATAATTTGCAGGACAATTTGGGGGGCAACAGCCAGACCTCTATGATCGCCACCATTAGTCCAGCAGCAGACAACTATGAAGAGACTCTCTCCACATTAAGATACGCAGACCGGGCCAAAAGGATCGTGAACCACGCTGTTGTGAACGAGGACCCCAACGCAAAAGTCATCCGAGAACTGCGAGAGGAAGTGGAAAAACTGAGAGAGCAGCTCTCGCAGGCTGAGGTGAGTGAGTCCGCCTGGTGCTCCCTGTTGGTGCAGATGGTGGTGGTATCTGCGTGGTGAAGGAAGGCATGCTTGCTTACAGTTCTAGGTCATCTCCAGGCACTTCAGCGTTTATTGGCGTGTGCTGTGTGCTAAGCTACTGTTTTCCAACCTTCTTTATCTCAACGGCACCCTTGAACCTATAGTTAAAACTTCCGTGGCACACTTAAATTATGTTGATCCAAAAAAAAAAATAAACCAGAGTAAAAAAAAGGAATATATATAGGAATATATATACTATGCTTTGAATTTCTTCCAAAAGTAATTAATTAATGATCTTTAAAAATTTTCATGGCACACGAAATCCTCGATTGAAATTCTACAATCCCCTCACAGCACACCCGTGTGCCATGCACACCAGTTGAAAATCACTGTGCTAAGCATTATAAACAGCAACATGTATAAGACTTCTGTCTGCTCAGCGCCCGTAGCACAGTGGTGACAGCATCGGCCACATACACCAAGGCTGGTGGGTTCAAACCCAGCCCAGGCCAGCTAAACAGCAATGGCAACTGCAACCAAAAAATAGTCAAACCTTATGACCGATGCCTGTAGTCCCAGCTACTTGGGAGACTAAGGCAAGAGAATCCACTTACGCCCAAGAGGTTGAGGTTGCTGTGAGCTGTGATTCTACGGTGCTTGCTCTACCAAGGACAGCATAGTGAGACTATGATTCCAAAGAAAAAAAAGACTTCTGTCCTAGGAACTTATGGCCAAGGAAGCAAATAATTGAGACAGAATTCCCACTACTACCTAACTGTTTGCTTCAGTAAGTCAGTTGGCCCTTGTGCTCAGGGAAAGCCTAAGAACCAAGGGTGTTGCTTTTATTAACATTGTAGACTACATTTCCACAGGGCCTTGTGGGTTTTAGAGATGTTAGCATCTCCTCAGTAAGTCATGGAGAGAATGTGATCAAGGATAATTAAACATTAGAAACAATTCAGAAATCTCCTTTTACTTTTTCATTTATTTCAGCCCCTGTCAAGAAGCAAAATTATATTTCTGCATTGTTACCTTCTTTCCTTGACGTCTCTGAACTTCAGTAACCTTCCCATTAGGTGTTGTTTTTTTGCAAATTGCTGGGTGAGGCTCTGTATCATTTGAAATAGGTCAGAAAACTCTGTTAGAGGCCAAGTGCCTGAGCTTAAGTCACAGGCCTTTACACACCAGGACTTGGGTGTGTAGCTGACACTTCCAAGTTCACATTCCTTTGCCACTCTTCTGATCCCACTGTAGTTGGGAGAGCGTTAATCTGTAAGGAACAGAAAAACAGAAAAAGAAAGAAAAACAAAGTTAATACTCATCATTTATTTACTGAGCACTTTTACGTGCCAGGCACTATATAAATACTTTAATCTATCAGCATATTTAATCTTTTATCTGTCAGCAAAAAGTATTTAATCAAAAAGTAATCAACAAAAGACTAGAAAAATTAAAAAATGAAGCTAGGAGTCTGAATACTCTATTAATTGGTAAGCTTGTCATTGTGTTATATAATAATCACTTGTTTACATACCTTTCTCGTCTTTCAGGCTCTGAGCTCTTAAAGCACAGGAAGCCATGTTTTATTAATCTTTTCATCCTTAACCCTTAGTCCAACATTAATACTGGAAAGCACTTAGCACAATCCCTTGCACATCATAAGTGCTCAATAAATGTTGCTTTTAAAAATAATGATGATAGAATCATTCAGTGTAATTTTTTAATTGATTCCAAGAAGGGTAGCAAAACACTCAAAAAATCAAAACACTAATAAACTTTTAAAAGATTCATGATGTTAGGAGGAAAGTATAATGGTTCTGGAATTTGTTTATAGGTGGGTTACCTGCTCACGTCCTCTCATTTCTAATTTGCATTTCCAAATCTAGACAGAGTGGCTAGAGTAATACCTCAACAAAGGAAAGAAAAGAGGAGCCACGTAGATCTGCCTAGAATTTTCACGTGTCCCTCTGTTCGAAGCACTAAGTGCCACTGTCAGGCTCTGTTAATACCATGAACTTCAGGCATAGTCACAGCTTTCAGGTCATTGCCATGTAGATTCGCATCCAAGCTTTACCATCTTCTTGTTCATGGGGTTGTATTCTGTAGGGGCTCAAGTAGGGAGTCAAAACATATTGTTGCCAAGTAAAGCTCCCTCCCCCCAATTTTTAAGCTACAGATAGCTGTATTTAGAACCCTTGGTTATTCTTATTAAATAAACTTAGTGGGAATCTACTGCCCAAGTAACCAGGTGTTCTGCTCCTAAGTAAACAGAAAAGTAGTCTAAAGGGCCCAGATTGGCTC